GAACCCGCATGTGGCCAACATCGGTCGCATGATCGAGGACATGGAGCTCAAGCTGAGGACCACGCTTCAGACCATCTACTTCGGCAAGACCAAGGACATCGTCAACGAGCTCAGGCAGGTGATGCCCGTCTCCGTCCTCAAGAGCAGGTCCGCTCTCCAGCAGCAGATCGCTGGTGCCATTGGCGGCAGGGGCAACTAAAGAGGAGACCAAACCAGGTCCCTGCTGTTGTTGTTCGCTACTTCCTTCCCGCTCTCGTTTGTCCAAACAATAAACGGACATCGTCTTGTTCTTTACACTCGTCCATTGTTTTCTCTATTTACTTATTTATCGTGTATTTTTTTGCGAGGCGGAAAAGGCGAAGGAAATAGTGAAAGGGAGACAAAAAAGAAAGAAGGGCGCACCAAGATGGTGAAGGTGATCCTCTTCCACCTGTTCAATGGGCAGCAGGTGGTGGGCATCGACGAGGAGCCCCTCGCCATCACGCACGCCTCCACCACCATCCTCGCTGCCACCAAGGCCGGTAATGCCAGCCCCTCGATTTATTAGATTGTTTCATCATTTAATCATTTATTCCCTTATGTGCGGCCAGGGCGGGTGGAGGGCTTTGCGGCCGGTGCCGAGTACGTACGCGCGTTCAGCTTCGAGACGGCGAATGATGGTATCACAGGCCTGCACCACGTACCCGCTCTCGACTGGTATCGCACACACTACTCGCTACATCAGTCCCTGCCCTGCCCAAAACGCTCATCATAGCCTCATACATGTCTGTGGCGTGCGTGCTGGATCGATGACGGACGCGTAGCGTGGTGACGCTGGAGCGGGAGAGCGCACACTCGCGTATCAACGTAGTGCGGGCCTACTACCGATACCACCCGCTGACCACCACCGATCAGGCAGCAGCAGCAACCGAGGCCGCCGACGGCACCACCACGGGGCGGTACGCTTCGGCGGGCAGCCTCGTCCAGCTCGCCGTGCCCTGGTCTGTGCACACTCTCGCCGTGTGGTACGCAACCGCACCGCTCGCTCACTGAGCGTGTGTGTCGTGTGTGTCGTGTGTGTCAATGGCTCACACCAATTGGCTTCGCCTCGCCCAGCGGCGCGACGGGGAGAGTGTTGGCCGGCGGCGAGCGGGGCCTGTCGCTGTGGGCTCTGCACGAGGAGGGCCAAGCGCCCGAGCACCTCATGGACCTGGACACCTCACACTCGCTTCCCGTTCGCCGGTTGGCCATCCACCGCGACTACCTTGGTACCACACCTCGCTCCACTACTCGTTTTGTTGTGTGTGTGTGTATGTGGTCGTGTGTGTGGTCGTGTGTGTGTGTGTGTGTGTGGTGTGTGGTGTGTGTGTGTGTGTGTGTGTGTGTGTGGTGTGGAAAGCGAGAGCCACGCGACAATCAAAGCTCACCGTGTATTGCATTTCTGGTCGCCCACTTCTCCCACCAGCCTACGCGTCCTCGAACGAGCTGTTCGTGCTCCACTTCCAGCTCGTCCCTCGCTCCGGGACCAGTACAAGCTCGTCCCTCCCAAGTACGTAAAGAAATAACCCGACCAACAGCACGACAGTACCATTGTAAGGAGAGACCAC